AGGCAAAACCATCAGAATTTCAAATTATACTCTTCCATGGATCGGTCTTTTTGGGATTCTTTCGATGGCCCCGGGAGATGCCCTACAGTTAACACAGCTTCTAATCTCAAGAGTAACCAATGAGAAATGGGGTGCCAAAATGCTAACACCCCAGTTTTAAAGATGGGAAATCGTGGGGTCAGCTTTGAAAATCAGTGGGTCGTCACTAATGTAGACGAGCTAGTACATGGGAAGGAAATCTGTTGAAGGCAGTCAACTTCGTGATTCAGCCCAACTCAGACCTCAGCCCCCTTCCACCTCCTAGCACTTGGTGTCCACACCATGTGGCTCCTGGCGTCTTGTAAGCCATGGAAAGAACCTGATACCGTTTTCTGCAAAGCTGCCAACTTTATCCCGTTAAAGGTCACCCTCCCTTAAACGGGCCCAGTTTTCTGCAATTCCTTCTCTCATGCAGCCAACAGAGGGAGGGCAGAGGGACTTTCTTCCCTCAAACATCAACCTTCAGGGGCACCTGGGTGGCTCAGTAGGTTAAGCATCTGACTTTGGCTCAGGTCACGATCTCACAGCTTATGGGCTCGAGCCCCACATCGGGCTCTGGGCTGGGAGCTCTGACCCTGCTTGGGATGCTCTCTCAAAAGAACATTTCATAAAAATAAGAACACACCATCAACCTTCATTCTTCAAGAGAGAAGAAACACCATCCCACTCAGGTGAGCTGGTAAGATCGATTCTGAAACAGGCCTTCAAAACTGAAGGCCACAGCCTAAGGGAAATGGATTTTAAACCCCTAACTGCTGAAAGGCAGCTTCAGTTAGAATCGCAGGAGAAGTACAGTATTTGGGGGGCACTTAGAGCAATGGCTCCAGATTCAAGATGGGTGCACAGCAGCACACGGGGATCACACAAGGATGCACGCATTCCCAGCACACCCCGCAAACATCCAGTGTTGATCACGCAGAGCCACAGTCTGTTGATCGTGGTCACTGGTGGGGATCTGATGCTCTTTAGGGGATTCTTCTAAGATCCTAGGGTAGTTGTTCATTTTGAAGATCTGGGACGCTGAACAGAAAGCAGAAAAAACATGCCGAGATGGAACAGATTTAACAGGCTCACAACGGTTTGTCACATTGATAAGCAGGTCACATTTGCAGAGAATGTATCACTGAAATTTGAGAAGTGCAAGCCGTCTTGCTTAGTCTAGTTGGCCTGTTCCCTTTCCCAGTAGCGAAAGGGATAAGACCACTGGCTCCACTACCCCCAGAGAAAAGACAACATTTGAGCAACATGGTGAAGGTCTCTGCTGTTCCATGACAGAAGCTCTTGGACACAGCTGGTGCATAAGACTAGCAACACGAGACAGACCTTCCAAGGTCTGAATCTCCACCTCATCAATGACCAGGCCAGAGAAACCCTTCTCCCTCTCCTGGAGGGAGGGAACAGATTGGGGGCAAGGACCAGCTTCTCTGCTAGCCTCACAGGAAAAAACCAGCAAGGAGCATATCAACCAAGAGAAAGTTAAGCCTCACAAAAATCGAAAGGCAAATTCTGAGATTACCCTTGAAAGGACGGAGCTACAGAGCACCAAGCTGGTCATCTAAGAACCTTAACTATCTCACAGCTCCTCGCTCTACTTTCTGCGTTTTTCTTTGTTCTCCAGTGTGTATGGCCCTTGCTTTCACGATTTCAGGCAGCCAATCAATGTTCACAGTGGGATCCTCCTCGGTTACCGGCCCTGGTAAGATCCACCTTCTCAGAGCAGTACCTCTGTACTGCCATCTAAACAACGGCATGAAGCACAAATGGCAACAATCCAGGAAGTCTTTGGAGAAGTGTCCTGTTTCCATTTGGACTGCATCTCCAGGAGGGGAAGAAGCAGGGGGGGAAAAGAAGCCTTTGTGTGCTTGTAAAATGCTTTCTAATAGCATAGATTAGAAACCCAGTTTTAATGGGCTACCACTCACAGCTTCAGTCTTCTAGTTCTGAACATTTACGAAGGGAGAGGATATTTTAGATTTCAAGCTATCTTACTTTATGAACAGGTGAGCTATTTGGAGCACATACGGCTCTCTAAGGTATACTTAGCTACAGCTATTCTACTGACCAAAGTCATGGACCATATACTAAGAGCTAGAAGATGCTGCCTCCATCAGGTGAGAAAACATAAGGAATACAAAAAGTCTCCAACTCCAACTGCCATCTCGAGAGGGTATGCTGCTAAAGGCATGGGATGAGGGGGTTCTTCTCCTGAAGACCAGAACTCTACCAAACACAAGATTTTAAGTTGGTAGAACATTAAGAGAAAAAGTGTATTCTAAATTGAGTATATTCTAAAATGATGAGATGTTACCTTTGAGGAGAGTGCCAAAATGCAAGTGTTAGGGAACTGTATTTGTGCAATTAAAAGGCATTGTCCTGGGCTAACATCCAGAAGTTATGAATAATGGATTAGCACATGCATACTCGAAGTCAAATGCTGAGCATACATACTAAACAAAATGTAACAAGCAGATAGCATATTAGGTTGTATTTGAAATGGTTTGTGAATTACAGTTTGTAAACGCAGTGCAGAAACTCACCCAAATAAGACCTGTGGTTTAATTCTTCCCCAATGAACTGCATCAACCACATACTCGCTGCTCTATTTTGTCTGCTTTGTAAGAACTACATTTCAAGTATTAGGTAAAGGCAATCCACAGAATGCAGAGGCTAAAACGAGTCTGAAAAAATGTTCAGCCTTACACCCAGATGAAAATTAAAACTTTTCACTTACCAGAGCAAAAATGTCAGGAAAAAAAAGAGACCTATCCTATACTGGTAAGAGTGAAAGGAATGGGGTACACTTAATACTGAAAATGCAAATTGTAACCTTCTGAGAACACGGCTGTACTCATTAAGACCTAAGATGTACACACATTCTTCTAGGTATCTTTTATAGAAATACCATGGTGTCCAAGGATATCACTGACAATATTTCACTAGTGTGAACTTAAAGCATCGGAAATGGAGAAGTTTGATACGCCCAACATGCAACCACTAAATAGAATAAGGAAGATTTTGACAGGGAAGGATATCCACTGCCTACTGTGGTGGGTGGATATTGGAGAAGGATTTGAAATTTTGAGCTCTTGAAGAGTGACTAAATATCTTATCTCTGAGGGAGGGAAAAGAGAAGAGCCTACAATTTCACTTCTTACTTTATGGGAGTCAAGCTCACATGAAACCATGAATCTAATCCACTCCAAAGAAAAAATTCAATGTAGTCTGGCAGGGTGGGGGGGGGGGGGGGGGGGGGGGGGGGGGACCATGCAGGACTCCCTTACACCCCTAACACTGCCACTCTGATTTCAACAAAATTGACTCAAATAAGCAGGTCTAGAAGGGACCAAGCTTATCCTGAAGTCTTAACATATAAGAAATGACACAGTTTAACACCTAACCTTCATTTCCGACAAATATTTTTCTGTTTCCATAGGTTCCCACCCAAATGTTACAAAAAATAGACGTATATCAGTTAGCCCGGAACCACACTTGCCACATTTTTTTTTTTTTTTTTAAAGGAAGGTTCAAGAAAAAAAAAAAAATCTCATTTTGGGGTGTCTGGGTGGCTCAGTCAGTTAAGCAACCTACTTTGGCTCAGGTCATAATCTCACAGTTCGTGAGTTCCAGCCCCGCATCAGGCTCTGCGCAGACAGCTCAGAGCCTGGAGCCTGCTTTAGATTCTGTCCCTCCCTTTCTCTCTGCCCCTTCCCCACTCGTGCTCTGTATCTGTCAAAAATAAACATTAAGTTTCTTTTAAAAAATAAAGTCACATTTCCAACCTACACCCAAACACTGCCTAACCAAGTTCAGGTCCACAACCGGAAAACGTAAAGAGCCCCATCTTCCTTTCATCTTTTACAAGGAGTGAGGCAGTAACACACCTTTCTCTATAAAGGAATATCTCGATTTCCCAACTCTCAGGGATTGATTCAGAGTTGGAAGCACTCGTGAAGGTAGGATATTAACTATACCATAAAACAGCTGCGTTGAAGACGTATTTAGGAAGTCTAAGAAACAAGTTCATGAATTTGAACTTTAAAAGATAAACCAACTCGCTAGCACAATTTTAGGGTTCTAAGAAGTACACGGTCTCTCTCTGACGTGCTTAGTATTAAGCAGTGTTAGGATAATATTTTCCAGTCTACGACGTACTTTCCACTTACCTTAATAAACCTTCACCCAGATGGGAAATGGAACCACAGCTAAGTAAACATAATATAGATGATGAGGAGAGCCAGAAGGTGGGCTTGTGAGCCCAGAATGCCCTCACAAGCTACCAAGCACTGACTTTAAACAGAACACAATGTATGGAACAGCTACCTAACACGCATGATACACAACTACAGATACGATACGAGGTAGAAATAAATGGATTTCTCCCCAGATGCAAGAGGTCGTTAGTACACAGTCACATTCACGCTAAAGGAAAAACGTGCCTCCTAGCATGGCAACTCATTATGATTGATCTAGGTAACTTTTAGACATGCTGACTTTGTTCTGGACAACAATCGAGAACCAAAAACCATGTATCAGTGGAATGATACATGGCCCAAAATTAGTTACAAGGAGTCCAACCTAAGGCATAGGTAAGAGCAATAAAGAACAAAAACCGAGCAAGAACCAGAAAAGCCGCATGAATACAAAGTGATTCCATTTCTTTTCCTCAACACCCACACAGAGACAGCAGTTTCTGACAAGAATGTTCTTGGCAAAAAATAAAGTTACAGGAAGGTTTTTTTTTCTTCAATGAGAAAAAGGCAGCTCTATATGCAGATTACTAGGCAATACCGTTTGATTTTTTTTTTTTTTTTTTAACAGTCCAAATTTAGAGACCTTGTTTTGAAAATATCTAAACCACCTTTTTTTTGGATCACGAAGAAAAGAGGACTAGAAATATTGTTCCCGTTTGGAATGCTGGTTTCATGTTGTACTTGAAAATAAAATCCAACGTGACAGCTTACCTTGGCACTGGAAGCCTTGTTTCCCAAACCCCCTGAAAAACAGAAACAACAAAATATCTTAACATATCTTGTGTTGTATACCATAGTTTAAGCCAGTTATGAAACAGTATTCCACAGAACTAAGGGTTTATACGTGAGAACCAACGATTTTATAGGAAAACATGCTCAGAGTACTGAATAAATTCGGTTTTGGGGGGAAAAAAAAACAACCTCTGTATGGCTTCCAAAGGCTCCTTGAATTTTTTCAATGTACAACAATCTTCTCTAAGTTTACACTTTGTTATTAATACTGAAGTTTCAAGACCAGACAGCTAGGGTATTTGGAGTTGGCCACGATGTTCAACAAGAGGACTATGTTTGAAAGCAGTACACTTTGATTTTGTCCCTAAAGACCAAATGAAAGTCATTGCTCTCCCTAAAGAAGTGGCTTCATTTATTATAGAATAGGGGTCTAGAAACTTCCAAATAGTACCCACTCAACATTAAGTTTTGATTTAAAAGACTGGTTTTACAATATGTTTATTAAAATTGCAGGTGAAATTTTTTGGGGGGAGAATCAACAGGATTCAAAGCAAATACAGAGGCTATTTTGTTCTTGTAGGTTACTTTAGAAGATTTACTCTGCCTTCCCTGCCAGACACATTAAACCATAAACACAGTTACAACTAGAATGAACTGCACTAAAACTCTAGGATAAGTTCTAATCTTTTGCTTTACATAGCCATCCTAAGCTGACAAGACACTTCATATGTTTAGTCACCCCCCCCCAAAATAAACCCAAACTTTTATGGTTTTTAAAGCGTTTTAATATTTAAAACAAGCTGGTAAATTAAGGGCCCACAGAAACAATGAAAGATAACTGAAGTTAAAACCACTGCGAGACAATCCTAGTGAATATTTTCCAGGACCTTCCAAGTAGTTTACAGTCAGGGGAATTAGCCAGGGAGCAAGCAGACAGGGAGACCTTTATTTTCCACTTCACATTACACCTGGTGACCCGAAGTGCCACAGCAGTTCACCAGGGGCTGATCCTTTGGGGCACCAGATAGTGGAAAGACATTAGCGAGCCTGGGTATGGATGTTACAAGTCTTTCCTAATTTACCTACTTCTGGCACAGACAGACAGCAGTCTTACTGTTCCCTTTTTACGGAGCATGGGAGAGGAGGCTGCAGGACTCCCCTTAACTAGATGCACTATCTTCTTTGCCCTGAAGCTCTAAGAACTTATTTTAGATAACTGTAGATATGGCTAACTTCTCCTTGGAACACAACTGCTTCGTACGCTGACTACACAGTGGTACTCATAGACATGACTGTGCTTTTCACGGAACTATTGAGATTTGTAAGGAAAAAACTAAGCACCTTATTAGGACTAGGCTTGTCCAACTCTCCCTTGGAGGGGATTTTCCCCAGGTGTGGTAGATTCGGATAGCCATCCAGAAGGGTAAAGTTAAGCACTTTGGCACATCTGTGGTGCCCTTAGAGGCGAGTTCCTCCAGGTGTGATGGATTCGGATAACCTCCATAAAGGAAAAATTAAGCACCTTATGAGCACATTCGTGGTACTCATGATTCCCCCCGCCGTGTGAATTCAGATGCCATCCAGAGGCAAAATTAAGCGTTTTATTAGCACCATGCTTGAAGTGCTCTGCCTCCAGGTGTGATGGATTCACATAGCCATCCACCAGTTCTGCCCAGGGCCCCAACAGGGTAGGTCACGCAAAGGTTAGTGGCAAGGTGCACTGAGACACTGTCACCCGAGGGCGGCCCCTAGCCTAAGGTCGACAGGAATTAAGGAACCCTTGCCTTAGTTCTGACTTGGGGAGCTTCCTAGCCACATTCGTGAATTGATGGTAAAAGTCTGGTAGGTATCTGCCAATCTAAAGGGGAAAAAAACTGGGACACCTGGTATTCCTGAAGTTCCAGCTTTCTACACGTTGGGGTCTGTGGGAGAAGGGGTCGCCCACGTTCTGAGAATCAGTAAAAGCCAGAACCGTGACCAGAAAAGGGCATGTACGGTTTCACCTGGTCTCACGGGGTGCAGAGACCCCGGAAGGCTTTCTGTTTATCAGGATCCCCAAACCACTGGCCCAAGTTAATGCCTGTATCCCCTGTTAATTCTACTTCAGTTCTGACACCTTACAGCAGTGTTCTTAACTAAGGCCTCGGTCCTCCTCAACCAGGCTGCACGTCTAATCTCGTGTTGACAGGGTCTGTTTTAGACGACTCCCTCTGCCCTCCTGCCATTCGCCTGGTCTTAGTCCCCCCTCCCCCACTGCAAGCTTTCAGCAGTTTGCGGTCTCTCCGCTCCCCCTGGGTTCACCCGGACAAGTCCGGTCTCCCGTGCCCAGCGGATACAAGCTACAGTAGGCAGGGACCCAAGCTAGCAGCGCAGTCCAAGCCCGCTGGGGAGCAAAACACACCCCCGAATGCGCCCAGCCTGGCTCGCCCGTAACTTGGACCGCGAGGCGCAGTCGCCGCCGCTCCCCGGTTACTTCGGGCGTGTTTCTCCGGGAAAACTCTGCCCTTTGGGCTCTTTCGCTCCCCTTCGCTCACACCCAACCAGCAGCTCCTCTATCGGTGCAGAAGGGCGGGTGCGCCTGGGAGAAGGAGGACACTGGACCCGCGAAGGGGATCAGTGTCACCGCGGCGCGGGGCCAGCCTCCCCTCCTGCGGTAGGGGGGTGTGTGTGACCTGGCGGCGACTTCCCCGGGAGTCCTGCCCGAAAGCGTCGCCGGAGCGCGCGCGCCGTTCCGGGCGAGAGTTCGGACTCGGCCGGCTTTCCAAGTTCCCCGAGTGAGTCAGCCCCGGAGTAGGCGCGCCCGGCCGTGGGGGCGGGGAGGGCGGGCGAGGGTCCCCGGAGCGATGCGACCCAGGCTACAAGGGGACCGGTCCCCAGCCCCCGGGCGCCGCGAGAGGGGGTCCGGGCGGCCGGCCGTGCGCCCCGGCCCGCGCGCACCTACCAGATGAAGTCGGTGCAGTGGCTGCAGAAGGTGGGCTGCTTGAAGAAGCGGGCGATGAATTTGTGGTTCTTCACCTCGTGCACGTTCTTCTGCCTCAGCGCCCCTTTGCGGGCGAAGCGGTTGGCCACGTCCTGAGACGCCGTGGAGTCGTTGGCCGGGAAAACGTCAGCCATGG